ATTTAAGATCAGACGTGTCATGTCTGAGACACACACCCCTGAGCCCTAAACGTATCTATCTTTTTGTTTCGTATTGTCCTTTGATATATAGTTCGGTGTTGGTCTCCAAACTTCCTCAGATTCTTTGTTCCCTCTCTGTGTGTCTGCACAGCCCCCAAAGTGTCCCTTTCCTACTCACGAGCGTGAATGAATCACTTGTCTGCTTCTCGGGTATCCCCACAGGACCTGGTGTGCTAGCTATACAGGTGCCAAAGAAATAAAGAGAACACGGAAAGAAAATTGTCACCAGGTTGTAATGCCGAGTTCCTAGTAGTCCGCAAGACTGATGGTGCTCCCTCTCTTCAAATAGTGCCTGGGACACGGCCATAAAAAAGAAATCTCGTCCTTCATGATGGCATGGGGGAACCTGGAGAGCATCATGCCGAGTGAAATAAGCCAGACAGAGGAAGACAAGTACCATATGACCTCACTTACATGTGGAATCTAATTAGCAGAATAAATGGACAAAGTAGAAACAAGTATGGATACACAGAGCAGACTGACAGCTGTTGTGGGGGTGGGAGACAGCAGCAGGGTGGGGGTGCTTGGATGAAAGAAGGGGAAGGGAGTAGCCAAAGACCATGTGTGCCCGGCCCGTGGACACAGACAACAGTGTGGTGACAGCCACATTACATTTTGGGGACCATTTATACAATGAGTGACAGAGAGAGAGAAGCAAAAGTATGTTTTTTCTAGCACACACAGCCATCATCCAATGCCCGCAAACTTTTTGCAGATGTGACGGGCGATGTCATTTTCTCTGGTCACCCCAATAATTAATTCAAAATACAAAGCTGTAACCCTGCATATGTGATACATGAGACACGCATGTCAAAACGTTTGTCTGGGCCTCATTTCTGCCAGGGCACAGCATGCATGTAAGTGTGACCGAGGAAGAATTTGCAACCGAGCTAACACTTGTGTGATGAGTGGCGTTAGGTCTATAACAAACACGTGGTGCACGGATGTCAGAGGTGAACAGATGTCCGATGCATTTTTCCTAGGACTGTGTCAGCTCATAGAAATGTGTCATATGGGGAGAGGAAGAGAAAGAAAAACACCACCTATAAATCCATGATGGATATTAAAGGTGGAATGAATCTTCCTACATGACAACATTAAGCCAACGTGTTTGCCCCCCAAAATCTGGGACTCTGTCTACTCATAGTCTAGGTGTCCTCCTCAAGATGTGAGGATGGTTGAAGGAGCTTCTTACGCAGGCACCTGCAGCCAGATTGGAAAAGGGAGGTTCTCAATATCGAATACGTCTTGGGGAATGGGTTTCCCACTGCACACCTGTATGGATGAATCGTTTTGGTAGCCACACTGGATTTCAAGCGCGTGCTGAGGCCGCACGGATGCCAAGCTGGAAACAGCTGCCTCCTTCTTGTTATTCACAACCACCAAATGCCACGTCTTTTTTACAGGCTGGTTTGAGGATACAGTGGGCCACTCTGGAGCCTCAGCTCATGTCCATTCCTTAGGTTGTAAACTATTGACAGCATTGCCTTGGGTATTAACTCCTTCTTTCTTCTCAGCAACCCTGATACACACAGATTCAGGCCGGAGGCAGGTACTGAAGCAGTTTTCAACGTGTAATGACGCAAAAACGAACCCAACCATGTAAACACAACAATAGTTACAACAGATTTCCTTTACAAACATAATTCTATACGCACCCCGAGTCTAATGTTTCTGTATATGTCTTTGGGTGTGTGCGTGAGCCATCATTTTTCTCAGGTGTAGAGAGGTGAAGATGTTTTTATCTTCTTTTATATCTTGCAAAATCCCCACAGCAGTCATCTATCTACATGTGCCCTCACCAGGTCTGTTAGAGATTAGCTGATAAGCCTTCCACAGGCTGAACTCTCCCATTTCAGAGCCCGTTTTAATGCCCGACTCTGCCACTTGGGGCAGTTCATTTACCCTCTGCACCTCTGTTTTCTCATCAGTGCAGCGGAAGAGTCTACACCCAGAGGGTGGCCTCGGGATCCAGGGTCTTGATGTGCCACTATTTAGAGCAATACATTTGGATGACCATTAGCAAGCTCTACAACTCACAATGACTAACTGCTGCTTAAATACCTCACTTGACTCTTTAAAAAAATACGTAAGCTTAAAATTTGCTTTAACTTTCTTTGTAAGAAATACATGGCCCCCTAAAATGTTATATATTTTTGCTCACTGTAATTGGACAAATCATCATTTTTCACATTACCTATACCATACCAGAAAAAGCACACAAATAGCACCTAAAAATAAGAGGTAATAATGCCTTATTGATAGCTAAAGCCCAATAATATCAACAGCCTGCAGATAATGGTGTTGAAGTTATGTGTGTAAATCATGGATTCCTCTGGAGAGAAATGTCTCGTGCAGTAAGGCTCACAGAGTTTAAAGTCTGACAGATCTCACCACTGGGGCGCAATCAGGCTCCCAACATTGGGAACTGGACCCCCTCTATGGGTCCACTTTCTACGGGGCATTGCTGGGGCCGTGAACTGCCAGAAATGTCCATGACCACCTCCTTCCAACACCAGGAGAGGTACTCCAGCCCAAGGTCTTGCATTTGGAGACTAGAACCTTTGTGTAAATGCTTCCCCCAGCACCCTGACTGGTCATTTCTCTCCATACCCAGAATGGCCTGCCCACTCCTGTTAGGAGGTGATAACCTCAGGAACGTATCTGGAAGGTCACACTCACCTCCCTGGCAGATATTCCCTCTATTTCTTTCAATGATCTTTGCTGCCTCTTTGACCAAATGGGAGACAGCAGGATATTTCGGCCATTTTTCCTAAAGTCTTTGCTTCAAGAAAACACAACCATTTCTAGGCCTTCTAAGTATCTGTGCTGATTGTCACTTTATGGGGAGAATGGGTTGTAAAATACTTTTTCCTATATACCCATTATATATATATATATACATATTTATACTTATATATGTATATATATAAAACGAGAGTCTACAGAGACAGAATTGCTTTTACTTCCTTGGCAGAACCTATTTTTTCCCCCTAATCACGTGTCTCATAAAACATGAGGTGGCAAGTTCATTTGAAGGACGTTCTGAAAAAGGAGAAACAGCCTGGCCATCTGACTTCTACTGACCAGTTTGAACATTCATGCCTAAGTTGCAACGGGTCCAGCCATGTATGAAATACAGTGGAGCCCTGGCTGGTGCGGCTCAGTGGACTGACCACCAACCTGAGAACCCAAGGGCTGTTCGAATCCCAGTCAGGGCACATGCCTGGGTTGCAGGCCAGGTCCCCAGTAGGGGGCGCAGGAGAGGCAACCACACATGGATGTTTCTCTCCCTCTCTGTCTCCCTTCCTTCCCCCTCCTCTAAGAATAAATAAAGGAAATCTTCAAAAAAGTAAAAATATACTCTACCCTTGAACAACAAGGATTGGAAGTTCACGGGTCCAGTTATAGATGGATATTTTTAAATCCTCACCCAAGGATATGCTTATTGACTTGAGAGAGAGGAACTTTGATTTGAGAAACATGGATCCATTGCCTCGTGTATGCTCCCCAATAGGGGACCGAACCTGTAATCTAGGCATGTGCCCTGATGGGGATTGAACCCATAACCTTTTGGTGCATGGGTAGACACACCTACCAACTGAGCCACCCAGCCCAGGCGGTCCATGAAGTTTTGGAATGATACTAGAGAACTTCTTGAGATTCCCTTACGACCATGAAGCAATCTTATTGATTCCATCAAGTATTTCCATTGCAGTTCTTTGTTACCAACGCAGAAACCGTTCTACCTGTAAATGAAAGGGAATCTCCCTTTCACTCTGCCTTGTCATTTCTCATGTTTATGGTTGGCAATCTTGTTATAAAACTTACAGACTTGTATATCGTATAAGACAATATTGACGCAGGTACAGACAGGCAAGTCTTCTGGTAAACAGCTGACGTAAACCTAGAGTATCAATAAATACAGTGCAGGACTGTAAACATATTTTCTCTTCCTTATGACTTTTAAATAACATTTTCTGTTGTCTAGCTTACTTGAAGGGTAGTCTATAACATACATGACATTGAAGTATCTGTTCATTGGCTGTTTATGTGATTGGGGAGTGTTCCAGTGAGCAGGTGGCAAAGTTTGGGGGGAGCCCGAATTTTTGTGTGAGTATTCTGCCTGAAGAAGGGGGCGTTTGTCCATACCCCTAACCCCTGCCCTTGTTCAAGGGTCAACCGTAACTGTAACCTTGTCAACCTGATCAAGGTCATCCCCAGCCATTCTGGATTAAGACAAATAAATCAAGGACCATCTGCAACCAGTAAAGTGGACTCAACACCCCCTGTTATTGGACTTCCTTTACTGAGAATTCTAACTACTCAAAGTTTCTGATCCCCAACTTTTTTGTGTGTTTAGACATAAACACAGGTGCTGCCCCCTTAGGGCAACAGTGAATGTGAAATAAGATAGAAGGCGTGGCCAGATGTGCCGTGAGAACGTGACAGATTAGCCGTCGCTGGTACCATAGCGCTTTTCTGAGTCTCGGATTTTACTCAATGGAATTCTTTGGCTGTGCCCTTGAAGAGTTACTCAGAAGACCGCACCGTGCTCGGAAGCTTGACGGCCCCGTGACATCGCACACAACTCAGAACCCAAAGACACTCAGCGTGGCAGTGTGTTTGGTGTACGGTTTTCGGTGGTTGCACCGCAGGGATCATCTCACCCATGGGTGTCTCTACCCACAGCGTTTGTCTGCAATGTCAGGCCCGAGGAACGGACCCAACCACAGCCCAGAAAGTGTGCTCCGAACTACAAGAAACTGACTCTGTTGGCCACGGCGTTTTCCCTTTATAATGTAAGTCAGCTGCGGCAGGAAACTCGGCCAATGAAAAGGGCACGCGGGAAAGAATCAGAATGAATTCATCAACTGCCTACGAAAGAACGGACGCGGAATTATTTGCACAAAGCATTAGAAAATACTGTGATATTTTATTATTAAAAATGCTTTGCTGAAAAGTTTATACATATGTGTCCAGCCATATATATGTTCTATCATTACTTAAGGCAAAATCAAAAACAAGATCGCAAAATAACAACCCGAAAAACCATGAAACCCTGCGAGCCTGTGAAGGTCGAGAAGAAAAGCCTAGGAAAGAAAAAAATTTTTTTACGCATTTTTTCTCATTTTCCTCTTTTTTCAGTTTTTTTTAATAGATAGCAAGTCTATTTTATTCTCATAGAACTCTATGAAGATTCTAGAACTCCTTCTCATGTAGAAATACGGTATCGTTGAAGGCGTATTAAATTGCTTTTGATCATAATCCTCTGGAAAAGCTAAAGTAGTTATTCACTGAAGAAGAACTCCTTCCCTGCCCCCCGCGGACCCAAATGTGACAAGCCTGATACAGTGCTGGGCATAGTGCTAGCTGAAGACAACTGGAAATACTCAACAAATACTGGAAGTCCTAGTACAGACGTACCCACACCGATGAAAGTGTCTCTCCTCTGTGGTGTGATGGAGTGGGTGTTTGCGGTCAGTATACAGAGCCTGAGGGATGGTGTGACGCGAGCTGGCGGGGTTCACGCACCGGGGGCACGAATCCTCTCCTCCAGCTGCAAGAAAGGTGCGTGGCTTCGCTGCCTCCAGATGGGGGAATGAGACGGTCACAACAAGAACATACCGAGACTCCGCCTCCAGTTTAAACCAAGAGAAACAGGACCTTCGACCATTGCTAGGAAGTGCCTTTGCCCTCAAGGGCTTTCTCGAGCTCTCTGATTGAAATTGCTACCACCTCTGTCTTGCCTTCAGAGAAAGCAGGGTTGTGTTTGGAGGCACCCACCTGCCTTTGCAACAACACTGGAGACTAGGTTTCTACGGGACACCCCATGAAGCCCAGAGAGGCCCTCTGCAATTATCTTTGGCTACTCTTTCCCGGGGTCGCAATAATTTCTGCAACACAACACATAACCGTGGACACTGGCCCCCATTTGTTCCCCGCCCCTCCGTTTACGACACTCAACATACTCTTCACCTGGGGAGATGAAAGGGACAACGAGAAAATGACCACATGTCGGGGGGGGGGACTCTGCCCCCCAGGTTGCCCACTCTAAATGGGTGAATGACTTCCGTGTGTCACCTCCACGGGGAAGCCCCCCTAACTTCTTGGACACCCCACACCAAGCGCCACTGAGGTTCTGTCTCCCCTTCGGTGTGTGTTTTTCTCTGTCACGTTCGTGATCACAGCCAGATACACCCATCCACACAAAGCAATGTTGTGAGACGGACCTAGAAAGCATAGGGCCGAAAACCAAACCAACCAAAACTCTGCTTGCTGATTGATAAAGAAGGGACTCCCGGCTTCTACAGCGGAAAGGGAAGTCAGGCGCTGTCCTGCCACCGGGCGCGCTGAGCTAGGGACACCCACGCCTTGCACAGACAGACCTCGGAGCAGCTGCGGCAGAGGACAGAGCTGTACTGACAGGGCAGCACCCGCCTCGCCAAAGGCCTGCTTTCTCTCGTTCCTGGCAGGGCCCCCGCGCTGGCAAGCAACCCTTCCCCAACACAGTCGAAAAGCCCGGACAACAGAACTGAAATTTCCCTCTCTCTCTTTTCCCAGCCTGATGGGCCTTCCACAGACCCCACGCGAAGTGTCTTTGTGTGTCGACTTCATGAAAACTTCACACACACACACACACACATACACACACGCGCGCACACACATGAAAATAAACATTTCCTAAAACATCGGTCTCCTAAGGTTGCGGTCACATGCACTGGTACAACCTGGGAAGGGGACGGTGTCCCCAGGGCCACAGACGCTGCCCCCTGCTACACAGAACACCCGTGACAAAGCTGTTCCTCCTCATCCTCACAAGGAATTAAGAAGAAATACCTCCTACGGTTGGCAGGAAACAGAGGTGATATGACTAATGTGTGTGTATATATATATTATATACATACAGACCACAATGGGGCTAGTACAATCTCGCTAAAAGCTCTTTCAAACTAAAAACACCAATGAAAGCCTGTTTTGTTTTGTTGTGTTTTCTTGAGGGGGAGGAGGACGGGAGTGTCTGTGGGTTTCAACGCACATCTATATACATTTTCTTTTTATTGTTACAAAGTTTCTTAAATAGAGTCCAGGCTGGCAAAACACCCCTTTGCCCCCAGGTGTACCTACGGTTCTGCATAGTCAGTGGTCCTACTGGAATAATAAAATTGTAGTTCTCTTCCTTCTTGGACTAGAGCTGTTTGCTGGGTAAACGCCCACAGAGTCTTTCTCCCCTTCACTAGAGCCATCTGTCGTATGGCACATAAAGAACTTTTATTATCATTATCATTATTATTATTATTATTATTTTGAAATTGCAATTAAAAAAAAAGAAAACACCACCACCATGAAGTGTCCCTGGCTGAGTTTCGGAGGAGTCAGCTTGAGTGGTCAGGCTGGGGAAGACCCCGGTTCCGGGAGGGTGCTGGGCCCCGCGCTGAAAGGTTCGCCGCCACGGTGGCCATCTGAAAGCGGGGTTGGTGCTCGTGACATCTACGCTTCACATTTCGTGGGGTCAGAAGTCGATCTTGAGCCAAGGGGGTGCGTCCACAGGGACAGCGCAACGGGCTGCCCTTTCGCCGTGTGTTTTGCCTGTGTGGTCCTCAGGTGGACATTCCTTGGGTGGAGATGTTGCCTCGCTGCTCCCCCACTCTGGCTGGGAAGGGCCGAGGGTGCTGGCCAGGGGCGGGGCGCGGTGGGGCCAGCCAAGCTATACTCTGGTGGTGGAGTGCCCGTGTGGTAGGTTTGTACTGTTCTGCCCGCCGCTGAAGGTGTTGAAGGTGTGCAAAGGCTGCATGCTGGTCAGTGTGTTGGGGATCATGGTGATGGTGTTGGGGGTCATGAGCGGGATGTCGTCCGGGGAGCGGCGCAGGGTGAGGGTGTAGTCGGGCGGGCAGGTGAGCCTCAGCGTGTCATGGGCCTGCAGCGCCTCGCACTCGTGGTCGTGGTCCAGCTGCTTCATCTGCAGCGACATGATCTCCTCGTTCTGGATGTGCGCGATGTCATTGGTGGTGTTGCGCTGGGGGCTGGGGCGCCGGTGCGTCTCGTGCCGCCTCTTGTCCTTCTTGTAGTACAGGGCCGCGAACGCCAGAATGTTGAGGAACAGCAGGGACGCCCCCACCGCGATGGTGACGCTCAGCTCGGTGGAGTAGTCCCGCTTGGTCTCGATGAGGACCGTGGTGTCCTCGGGCCCCGTCTTGTGCGGGTCCTTGGAGTGCTTCGGGTGGTTGGCGGGCGTGATGGCCGGGCGCTTGGTGGTGGGCCAGATCTTGGCGGGGGAGCGCCGCGTCCCATAGGGGAAGGAGGTCATGTCAGGAGGAGGCACCTTCGTGGTGGTGGAGACGTACTGGAATATCTCGTTGAGGTTGTGCAGATGCGGCACCAGCTCCAGCCAGAAGGCCACCTTGGTGGCCCGGTAGTGGTCGCGCACTCGCGGCTTGAGGCCGATGTGGAGGTACAGCTGGTCTTTGGGGTTGTACTTGGACCAGGCTACCTCCTCGAAGCGGTTGGGTTTGGTGTGGATGAACTTGGTGTCCTGAGGCACGGGCTGATTGGGGTCACTGCAGGGGAGGGGTAACGACAAAACAGAAAGGAGGTCACATTCTCCCACTGGGCACAAGGAAAGTCTAATCGAGTCAGCACGAGAAATCACCATCTGTTCATCGTGGGTGCTTATCGACAGGCATAGAATATACTGCAGTAGCCACAGACGCGTTCTGTGTGGCTCTAAGAATGGCTACCATTTTCTCTCTGCCTTACAGTTCCCACACTGATCATTTTCTGTTTTATTTCTCCACTTGCTTGGTTCTTTAGATTCCTCACATCAGTAAAATTATATGGTATTTGTCTATCTGTGCCAGACTGATTCACTTAGCACAATACCCACTAGGTCCATCGATGCTGTTGAAAATGGTTAAGATCTCATTGTTTATGGCCAAGTAATATTCCATTATGTGTGTGTCTCTGTGTGTACGTACATACTATGTTCTACACATCAGTAAACTCATATGGTACCTCTCTTTCTCTGCCAGACTGATTCACTTAGCACAATACCCACTAGCTCCATCGATGCTGTTGAAAATGGTAAGTTTTCATTTTTTATGTCCGAGTAATATTCCATTGTGGGTATACGCGTGTGTGTGTACGTACTACATTCTACACATCAGTAAACTCATATGGTACCTCTCTTTTCCTGCCAGACTTATTCACTTAGCACAATACCCACTAGGTCCATCTATGCTGTTGAAAATGGAAACACTTCATTTTTTTATGGCTGAGTAATATTACCTTCTGTGAGAGTGTGCGTACATCACATTGTACACGTAAGTGAGATCATATGGTATTGGTGTTTGTCTGAATTATTTCACTCAGCACAATACCCTCAAGATCCATGCATGCTGTTGAAAAATGGTAAGACTTTACTCTTTTTATGGCTGAGTAATATTCCAGAGTGTGGGTATATGTACATCCCATTCTACACAGAAGTGAGATCATATGGTATTTCTCTGTCTGAATTATTTCACTCAGCACAATACCCTCAAGATCCATCCATGCTGTTTAAAAATGGTCAGATTTCACTCTTTTTTTGTGGCCTGCCAATATTCCCTTGTTAAAAAAAAAAGTGTACCACACCTTCTTCGTCCAACTATATTTTTTAAATAATTCCCGATGGCAGCATTAGGGCATTTCCATACTACTTTGACTAGAGTGCATCAAATGATCTTCAACGTCAGTACAAGAAAACCACGTCTGGGTGCATTTTTATGACGTTCCCTGCTCGCCATGGTCTCCCATGCTGGAAACCAGGTGGACCAGAAGGTCGTACTGAAAGACATGAGGTCTACAGGTGCTCTGAGACATCAGTAAGGATGCACACAGTAGACTTGGCCAGCAAACACCGCACCTGCCAAAGGAAGGACCTTCAGCCCACCCCCACCCGAGGCTGTCGAAATCGTTTCCAAAGTTGTGAGCTTTTTACACCTGGGAACTGGGGAGCAACCTCTCAGGATTCCTCATCTATAGAGAACCCTGGGTCTGCAAGTGAGACATGAAGGGGAGGTGTTCACTCCAACATTGCTGGTATACAGTAGGAGCTCGATAAATGTTACCCCTTTCTGCCAATCCATACATCAGAATCCCTAAAATATGTCTCATTTATACTATACCTCAATATACAGGGTCTGGCACAAATAACGCCTCTTTTTTATTCTAAAATCACAAGCATGTCACCCTGTAACAACACTATCGCACTCAAACACACCTTACGGCATCTGGGGTGAAGTGTTCAAATCACAGCTATACATTATGACACCTGTATTATTACCCTACCACTCCACTGAAGCGGGCCTTACTTCTGCCAGACCCTGTATAGCTTAGAATAACTGAAAATATAATTTTGAATACCTAAACATTCCCTTAGGGGGAGCTATGAAGTGGTATATGCCCATAGTAGATAGAGAATACTGTATATTTTTGTAGCGTATGCTATATAAAAGCATAGTGCATATACAGCATGTGGTATACTGTATATAATATATGCTCATAAAACTATGTATTCCAGTGTGTAGTGAATTATAGAGTATGTCTGTATTAATGCATATTATACATCACAGCTTATACAGTATACATACATAGATAATATGGTGTATGGATATGATTATATATGTACAGAAGGAAAAGCAGTTTTATCTCATGACTGAATGCACAGTAAAAGCAATGCTTTTATTTTGCTAATGGGACCAAAAATATAAGATTAGAGGTGCTCATGACACGCACTTTTGTTTGTATGTGTTCATTCACAGACTCCACAGTTCCAGACAAACTTTTTATTTATTTTAAGAACTTTTTATGTTGTCCACTAAGTGCTGGATTCCACAGGACACCTTGTATTTCTTTTACTTGAGCCCTCCAGAATCCCTTTTTGAACACTTTCTGTGTTTAACGGGAATCTGCCACAGACGCATTTCTTGGTGATTCCCACTGTCGGAGGCCCCGAAAGGTCGTGGGGATCTCTGTTAACCCTCCGCTCATCCAGCTGCAGGGACGTCATGGGGGAAAAAGAGTGTTCATGTTGGGTACCAGGCCGTTTTTTGATGGAATGTAGGGGACATTTGAAAAGCAAAGAAACACATTTATGTTGCTCCCAGAGAACAGAGCCCTGGCTGGCCTTGGGGAACCCAGACAGGTAAACTTGACCCTGACGCAATCCAGTAAACTTCCCAGATGCAAAGTTGAAAATGGGAACCATAGTAAACCACGGAGCTTCGGAAGGCCGACTTCACCGTGTCAGATGCTCCTCTCACTGTGTGGGTGTCTAGATGGGACCCTGAGTTTGGATTTTAGAGCTCCCCGTAGCATTTCACATGTTTTACCTGCCAGCTGCAAAACTCAAGATGGTAATGGTTCACAACAGCAACACACACATTTCTCCACAGCAGGGGCCTCTGTCCGCAGCTTCGTCCGGATGCCCCAACCCCCAACATGGACGTTTTCAAGGGTAGTATTCTACTGGAGAGGTCATGGTGGCCCTGAACACAGAGGGTCATGTGTTCCTAAGGTTTTCTGGGTCACTCATCGACCAGAGATAGGTGAGAGGAATTCTCTAAAGACAGCAGTGAACCCTGATACGGTGTTCTTGCAGACACGGGGCTCTCCTTCAACCTGAAGCTGAGTGGCTGATGCCTAGTTGTCCCCGGGCCCCTGGGGCAAACAACAGCCACACAGCAAGAATGGCATATTCAGTGACTCCTGTGGTATGGGTACAGGTGTTTATTTCTTTAGTATAAAGCACAGTTTGGCCATACAGGTCACTTGTAATGTGAGACCCACGCTGCTGGGCTATTCCCCTTGATGGTCTCTTCCCTGCTTTCTGCAAAGATTCGGTAAAAGTGCACTGTGAAGTCAATCGTAGGCTTCTGGCAAATTCCAAAGGAGAGATGCACCTGAGGCCAGGTAAAGAGGTAAGGCATTGCACCATACCCACCCCGAACTCTGGAGAACAAGGTGAAAATATTGAAGTGTGTGTTGGTTTTATTGTAGATTTTACGTTTTGGAACAAGTTTGGTGTATTAGTCATATTGCTATCTGCATGCCAATGGCAGCTGAAGTCTTCAAGGTACAGTTGAAACTCTGGTTGTGTAAACTCCTCTCCCCATGCCCTGGCTGGTGTGGCTCAGCAGATTGAGCACCAGCCTGAGAACCAAAGGGTCGCTGGTTCGATTCCCACTCAGGCCACATGCCTGGGTTGTGGGCCAGGTCCCCAGTAGGGGGCGCATGAGAGGCAACCGCACACTGATGTTTCTCTCCCTGTTCTCCCCTCTGTCGAAAGATAAATCAATAAAATTTTAAGAAAATAAAATCAAAGCCCTCTTCACAGCCATATATTCTAGGGAGATCTTCATTTTTGCTTTCTATCCACCTTTTCCCACACAGAACCTGGGCTGAATCAACAAGTGCCTGAGTTGTATGGACTGGCCAGGACTCACAAGGCCTTCTCTTCTGTTGCCAACGAGATCTGATAGGACAAAGATGCATCATCTTCACCATCGCGGCCAACGTTGGAATCGGCTTCCATTTCCCCTTGACATCACTTCTCATTCCCTGAATGTTCTGCCTGTGTAGTTCATTTCCCTGCCTGTTTGCGTTCAGTTCTCACGTGGGTCACTGAAACCGTCTCTTAGGTACGAATAAATCCTCTTGTCTTCCCCGACTCCCTTCCTCCCCTCTCTGCTCTCCACCACACGCACCTTCCCAATGTCATTTCTTGTGTGCTCAACAAAAAAACAAGCCAACGAGTCGAATATGCTAAATACATGCTCATCTGCACCCAGACATAAGGAGGTGTCCATCAGCTTCAGCATGTACCCAACACAGCAGCCACCCCACCTTGAACAATTGGGACTAGAGGGTGTTGTGTGTGACGTGGGAAAGCATTCAAGTTGCACTGATGTCCCAATACATGATAATGGCAATTAATGCGTGTTCTGGAGCCATGTGCTGCTTTCTCTGCTTGTGTTGTCTGGGATGCATGACCAGCTATTCTTTTCATCAAACTCCTGTCTCCCTCACGCTTGTAAGGAGTGGTGGTTGGTTGTCACCCGTGTTCTAGGCTGTTCTCTGCATCCTTGCTTGACCTGGTGTTCTGCAGGTGAGAGCTAAGCCTCCCACCTCGGACCGCGAGCCCAGACATGGTTTAACCTGTGCCATGCCGTACCTGGCACCATTTGGGCTCATTCTCCTCACCTGGACTGTTGAAGCAGTTTCCGTGGGGACGAGGAAATTCTCTGCACGGGGCTGCTGCGGCCACAGCCCTCTGCAAACTAACTAGCAGTGACCTCTGAAGCCTTTGTCATCTGCTCCCAGATACCTCAATCTCTAGACTATGCCCATCAGCTGTACCCCTTTTTCTCGTTGAACCAGCAGCCTGTGAAATACTTCTCTCTACTTACTTACCTCCAAAGTGGCGTTTTGCTTTGCACATTAAACGGAGCTCTGAGTGCCGCCCTTTATGGATGCTCTGAGTCCCATTGACCATCTTTACAAATTAACAACAAATAAACACCTCACTGCATGCATATGGCTAGAGAATCATTTCAGCGCTGATCCTCAAGGACCGCAGAAGCAAACTGAGCTCACGCTTGCGGATGCTTCTAATGGACTTCTGAGGCCACCCATCATCTCTATCCCGTGACCTCGGGGACACCCCTGCCTTGGGGTCAGGTGGCAGCTATTCTGTAAGATGAAGAAGGCATCATTCTTTTCTGTCTGTTCCTGACACTTGATGTCACCATGAAGAAGGCCAGAAACGTCATAGCCAGGTAAGAAGAATTGTCCCTTGAGTATGTGACTTATCCCAGGTGATGTTATATGCCTATTCCTTGCCTGTGCCCCCAAGGAGGGTGTGCACCCCCACTGCCAACCCGACGGGTCGTAGGAAGTACAGTTACGACATTAAAAAGCATTCAAGGCAGAACGGTGTGGTACTTTCCATCCTGGCTCGGCAGTTGCTGGAGGCAGCTACTTGGTGTGAACACACCACTCATCACCCCCCTTTCTCTTTCTTTCACTTTTTAAAGATTTTATTTATTTATTTTTAGAGCAGGGAAGGGTGGGAGCAACAGGAAGGGAGAGAAACAGCAATGTGTGGTTGTCTCTTGTGTGCCCCCTACTGGGGACCTGGCCTGCAACCCAGGCATGTGCCCTGACTGGGAATCGAACCAGCGACCCCTTGGTTTGTAGGCTGGTGCTCAATCCACTGAGCCACACCAGCCAGGGTTCTTTCTTTCATTTTTTAAAAAGAGAAAGCCTCTGCCCCAGGGCTGCTCTGGGCATCCTCTGTCAAGTCAAACAACATCCTTTGGGTAATTTCTTTCAACAGCCCTAGGAATCTAATGCATTGTTGTTAGTAAACACATGAATGGACTTGACTTCAATTCTCTCCTTGTGGAAGAAGAGAAGCTGTTTCAGGACAAGGGACCAGCCTTCTTCCCACATCTTTGCATCTGCAAAGATGCAAATCTTTTCTGCAAATATTGAAAATCTGACCGTTGCAGGTGGGCACCCAGGCAACACACTTCCCACTGGGTAGACGCGCCCTCGTTGGGCTAACCCTGCAAAGCATTTGGAAGCCCCTTCTCTCCAGCGTTTGGAGGCCCTGTAAAGAATGATGGCTTGCAGAGCCCTAAGCATAGAGACCCTCCAAATCCCCCATAATGCCCCCCTCTCTTGAGCCCCGTAGGGTGGGCGCCAGCAGGGCAGCCCTGTGGGAAGCTGACCCGGGCATCTGGCTCGCCATGGGGAGACTCATCCGCCTCGGAGCTGTGAGCGTCTTCATTTTCAATTCAGCACAAGAGGCTCGAGGTTAATGACAGAAGCACAGGCAGGAGGGACAGAATGACTCCTCATTAATCTCCACAATTAGGTTACGGGACAAGAGAAAATGAAGATGCCCGGGTTTGTGTGGCCACTGAAGGGTACTGAGCAGCCTTTTCTCTCATTGTTTGCAGAGAATCTGCTCTGTAGAATATTGGTGGAGGCTGTTGTATGTGTTGCTCTTGTGTATTTTCCACACATTTAGCCAAGGAGCTTTTAAAAAAAGAAGTACTTATAGATACACATAAATACATATCTCTCCATATGCACATATATATGAAATGTGTATTTACTTATGAAATCAGTATGGATCAATATTTCTATATATATTCCTATATATAAAGCACATTTCATAACTATACAGGGTTAGAAATACAGGCACCGCCATAAAGCAAATATTGCCATAAAGCGAGGGACTCAAATTGTTTGCTTTCCCAGGGCACACACAAGTTATGCTGGCATTATACTGAAGTAATTTTGGACTTTTTTCTTAATTTGTTTTTTTGGTCTTTTTTAAAAAAAGACTGTATTTACTTTTTTTAAGACAGAGGAGAAGGAAAGGAGAAAGAGAAGGCGAGAAACATCAATGTGTGGTTGCCTCTCACACGCCCCCTACTGGGGACCTGGTCCACAACCCAGGCATGTGCCATGACTGGGACTCGAACTGGTGACCCCTTGGTTTGCAGGACAGTGTTCAGTCCACTGAGCCACACCAGCCAGGTGAACCTTTTTCATGGCACACCTACACTCATCCCTAAAATTCTGCGGCACACCCAAGAATATATCTTTAGTGAATCTGACAAAAAAATAGGTATAATTTTGATTTGTTCACACTGGATGCTTATTGTATTTTTTTAAATTTGACCATCTAAGGTAAAAGAGGTCCGTGCCCCCAACTAAACTGTTGGGTGTTGCATGTGTTAAAAATTCTGGGGTGCCCTGGTTGACCATCAGTACTAGAGTATATGGAGTGTGCAATAATAGCATTATGTTTAAAAAACAACGCCCATTCATGAAGAAAAAATACCTTATTGCTTCAACAGTAGTGGCCATGATCTGATCCTTCAGTAAGTCACAATCTGTGGCTGGTGGAGGAGGGTCTTAACCTTACGTTTGTAAAATAAATGAGTAAGTGAATGAAGCAACTTTGAACAATAAAGCCAATGGTTATAAAATGAGCTATGCCTGTGTGTGTGTGTATGTGTGTGTGTATATATGTATATATATATACACATTCACATTATATATTTATTTCCATAGTTCATGATTAGGATATTTATCACGTGGCTTGCATTTTTGGATAACCCTGCCATTTAGCCAACGAGATGAGGTCTTATTTACATTCGAAACTCTACAGTTAGCTTTCAATAAAACTGCCAAGTATGTTTACATCCTGAAGTGGTACCACTGGTTAGAGCAACATCCTATGATACGGTCAAAGGTTGCAGGATCAATCCCCAGGCGGTGCACATACGGGAGGCAACCCTTCCATGTTTCTCTCTCACACCCATGTTTCTCTCACTCTCTCTTTCTCTGTCCCTTGCCCTCTCTCTAAAATCAGTAAACATGTGCTCAGGCAAGGATTCAACAAATGAGTCTTGGCAGAAATAGTTTAGGGGTGAAGAACAAACGTGGCCCCTGTAGAAGCTGGGGAACAGCGACTATCATGTGAGTACCTGCAAGCCGCGGCTTCATACCCGTGCAAACACCTGTACGGAGGAAGCAGCCAGCTGGGAGGAAGGGAACATAAGATGGGGAGAACCTACCCGGTCTTGGCGAAATTGGTCCAGTAGGTCATGACCACAGCGCTGAGCATCACGTCGTTCTTGGAGAAGTTGCAGCTGAAGAGCTCCGTGGGACCGATCATGGGGATGCCAAAGACGTAGGGGACCTCGTCGCCGTGGGCCGAGTCCGCCCAGCTGGGCTTCATCTCACTCTGGCAGTGGTGGTAGAAGGCGTAGAAGTAGGTCGGAGACCCGTACTGGGCGTGCAGATCGGCGGTGGCCACCGCGGGGGCCACCCACTGGTGGTCGGTGAAGAGGGCCACCAGGGTTTTACGGCGCGTCTCCGGGTTCTCCTTGTCCGCCCAGTCCGTGTACATGAACTTGATGGTCTCCCGCAGGGTGTCCTTGCCCTCCGGGTAGCCGTACAGGTTGTCCACAAAGTTGGACACGGAGAAGTCGAAGTCGTTGGGCGTCACGCCGTCTTCGTTGTCCACGATGCCGTCCACGAACTTGAGGCCCTCGCCCTGGTTGACGCCGAGCATGATGTCATAGTTCAGGAACTCGCCCTGCTCCATCAGGATCTGGGGGTCGTCGGGGATGACGTCCCCGTCAATGACGGGCCCAAAGGAGATGTGGTACGTGGCCGGGGTGATGGTCTGCTGGATGAGCTCCTTGTAGTTCTTGTTCCGAAGGCACTCCACCATGTCTGTGGTGTCCAGCATGTTGCAGCCCACCTTGTCTGCCAAGATCCGGGTGTACTTGGCCGGTTGGTAGTTCACGGCCCAGCTGGACAGCGCCGTCCCGCTCTGGATGATAGCTTTCTGGAACAGGCCTGCAGGTGCAAGATTGGGGGCATGCAAATGAAAATCCGACAGACACAGGAGCGGCTTGTAGCTCGGGGAAGAAGGCTCCGATTGAGTCCCGGGTCTGGGAACATCTGGGCTGGCGGCATTCAGCCCGGGCAGAACCTCTTTGACGCTCTCCCCACACCCCCTGCCTCCCTGCTGGGCGTTGCTTTTAAGGGGTGTTCTTACACACGTACACACACACCAGATATGGTGTTGAAGAAAATAAAACTACATTAACACTTACCTATATTGACAAAAAGAGGCATTCTCTTTCTCCCAGGACAATCTGCTTATTATATATCAACAAAGTCCGTCTCAGTGACAATCCTCCCCAGTCCCTAAAAATGCACTTTGGGCCAGAAGGAAGGTCACACAGGCTATTCTGTCTCATGGGGAAAACCAGCTACGGCTTCAGTACAGGAAAAGCAAATCGGCGGAGACCAGTCTCAGAGGATACATTCAGAGATGCAGTTCCGCCCGCCCCCTCAACTTATTGGGGGTATTAAAATGTTACAATTCCATTCGCGGAATTAACTATTGCTCAAGAAAGCCTCTGGTGGAACACCCGACTGAAATGTGGATTAAAAAAATATATTAGTCATTTCAAAATGGCACCCATTTTAAGCCCAGATGTTTGTACCATTTATGGTGTCCTGTTCTAAAAACATCTGTTTGGGGAGAAACTTGAAACACCTTGGGCAATGTGAGGAGTACAGTGTGGACTGCCCAACGATGAGGTACAACCTTGAGACTTGGCATTGAGGTGGCTTTGACCAACGCATGATCAAAATCATTTCAGGCCCATGTCCACGAGTTGATTACTGCCAGAAATAAGCAAGTACTGACTTGTGTGTTGGATTCTGAAGACTGATGCTCAAAAACACTTCAAAGAAATGACGTCAGTATTTGATCTATGAAGACGTTTATGGGTTCCAACCATCAGAATTAGAAAAATACTGCTAGAAGTTACTTTTTTCTAAAAATCTGTCTCACCACTCTTGGCCATGTCTGAGGAAGAAGGATGGATGTACCTGTCTGTTAGGGAAGTAATAAAGCCCCTGAAAAATGAGAAAAATTGAATAAAGAAAAAATATCGCCTACAATTCGTACTGTTAACATGCAAGTTACCTTCACATGTTAGTATCATTCTTTTTGGCTATTTTTCCCCCTTAGTGCACTTTGCTGAACTGTGTCCCTTATACGTATATTTTTTACACGGTGGTTCTCAGGCCATTGCATAACTGAAGCTCAGTTATTACAACTAATAAGTGTTCCTTTGAGTAAACACTTGTGTTCCTTATAACTGTCCTGTCCTTTTTTAAATCTTTGACCTCTTTTCATCATTCTCTGCTTTGATAATTCTATGGTAAGTGTGTTTGTAAATGTTTCTTTGATGTGCATGCTGATTTCAATAGAATATAGTGCTGGGAGAATATAGCTTTGGGTATATGTGTCATTCTTGACTCTATCTTTTTTTAAGAGTTTATTTATTTATCTTTTGAGGGCAAGGGAAGGAGAAAGGGAGAGAAATATCAATGTGTGATTGCCTCTTGTGCACCCCCTGCTGGGAACTGGCCTGCGACCCCAGGCATGTGCCCTGACTGGGAATCGAACCATGATCCTTTAGTTCACAGGCCTGCGCTCAATCCACTGAGCTACACCAGCCAGGAATTCTATCTTGGGGTTGATTTGGGGAGGGCACTCTGCCAAAACGAGCCACACAAGCCACTACTGCCCAGCATATTTGTCTCTATTGGTCAATTTAAGCAATTTCACACCCTTGCTCCCATTAGTTTTGGCTGACACGGGTTAGATTCCTATGAAATTTGGTTCCGACAAGTCTCTCAGTCGCAAAGTGAGAAGCAGGAGAGAGCCTGGGTGTTCATCCCATGACCCCTTTTTCCTTGTGGGCAAGGCTGAACACAAAGATAAACCTTGAACGCCACGTCTCCTTATCCATGAGGAAACGAAGCATCAAAAACACCCAAAGTCGAGGACTAAAAAGCTACCATCAACGTTCTCTTGCTAATGAGGACACCAGGGCACAGACAGATTCAGCGACTTGTCCGCGAGGGTACAGGAAGTGAGGGCAGAAGGGGACATCCTCATATGGCACCACGGTGGCTTCCCTGCTTGGTGTGTTTGTGGATCAGGAAGACGCTATGGAACTATTTAAAGTAAGAATAACGCCTTTCCAATTGTAAACGCTCCTGATAAATGGCTCAAAGAGGTCTGGTGTACCCTGTGTCCAAGCCCCACTGATCTCTCTCTTTAATTTAAAGTCAAATGTTTACTTTTTCAACTACAGTGCACATTCAACAGTGTATTAGTTTCACTTGTACTGCCCTGTAGTTAGACATTTATATAACTTATGAAGCAATCCCTCCCCCAATAGGTTGAGTACCCACCTGGCCCCATCCATAGTTACTACAGTATTATTGACTGTGTTCTCTATATGGTTGGTGCCTCTCTTAAATCTCCAAATTGCTTACATCCTCTGTCACCAACGGACAAGAGGGAAGGACCTTGAGTAAGCCTGGGTCGGAAAAGTGACCTGTGTTCGATTACAGCCAACTGTGAATTTTATTCTGTACAGTATGGTGTAGGGAATGCAGTCGGTGACAGAGGGGAGGCCGCCGGCCTGGTTATGTGAGAAGGCGCGTTACTGGCGACAAACCCACATCCATTATGTACGTTCTTTTTCTGTCTCCCACGGCTTCCGCCAAGTTGACATGAGAAGCTAACATTTCAAGTCGAGTGAATAAGAGTCAAAAGGCAAAAGGAAAGGGTTAGCCTTTCGGAAGAAGTCATCTCATTCCAGTTATTGTACGCCACAGATAACGGCTGAACATTTAAGTAGGAAAAAAGATGTCTTGTGAAAATACCGTATTTTGCTGTATATAAGCCATACATTTTGCCCAAACTGTTTAGGGGGAAATAAGGGTGCGCATCATACACAGGGAAATACGGTCGTGAAGATTACTGTGTTGCCTATCTGAACGTTGCTGGGACAATATATCTTGAAGATACTTTGTGACAATGGAAGGCAATGGATGTGAGTTAGACGTACCACAATCACCTGGCAAGATGTCCAAATAGGGTATCGTCATGTTGTACGCCTGAAACCCATCTAATGGTTTCATGTCCATTCTGTGTCCATTTTTGAAAAATGGAAAGAAAGCGGAGTCCAAAGGAAGAGAATGTAGATGCATGTTCAGCGGGTCCTGGGCACCAGCCGTCCACCGTGGGGAAAAGCGTGATTGATTGATTGATTACCTTCTGAGTAGTGCGACAATGTCAGCAGGCTGACGCAGGAGGCTCCTGCGCCCGAGCCGAAGATGGTCACGCGCTTGGGGTCGCCACCGAAGGCCCCGACGTTCTCCTCGATCCACCGCAGCGCCTGGATCTGGTCCAGGAGTCCGTAGTTGCCTTTGGCCGCCTGGTCGCCGGTGCTTAAAAACCCTGCAAGAGAAGACACGGCATTGTGATTGGTCAGCTTGCAGCAAGCACATCGGCCCGGATGCTGAAGGAAAAGCTCCTGGTTCACGGGGACCACTCTTTCCGCCCTGTGAGACATGGTTCACGGCAGCGAGGCTCAGAGGTTACGTCATCACGGTGGACGCTGTGAGGAAATGCCTCCTCGGTGGGTGGAGCTAACGCGAAAGACAAAATTAGTCTCAAATATTTGAGCCCTGGCTGGTGTGGCTCAGTGCATGGAGCACGGGCCTGAGAACCAAAGGATCTCGGTTCGATTCCCAGTCAGGGCACATGCCTGGGTTGCAGGCCAGTTCCCAGCAGGGGACCCATGAGAGACAACCATACATTGATGTTTCTCTCCCTCTCTCCTTCCCTTCTCCTCTAAAGATAAATAAATAAAATTTAATAAAATATTTGTAATGAGTAACAATGATAGGGCCCACAAATTTGACTGGATTCAAGGCATCATTCCGGTGCGTATGTCTGCTCTCTTCACAAAATGAAAAAGACTCCTAAAACACGTTTTCCCAGGGGAAAAGATCCCTGTGTATGTGTGTGTGTGTGTTTGTGACTCTCTGTAAGGCTGTGTGTGTGCATGTGCACAGCAACACTGAACAACACCCTTTTCTCATTACACGTTTATTAATATTTTAATGGAATACCATCTTCCTGCTTAGCTTTCAAAGTAAATTATAGACATAATGAGATCCCACACTTAATAGCTTAGCGAGTACCTCTAGTGTTCCATGCAGAAAAACGCTCACAGTTACACGCGCACACAAATAATTATTTTTTAAAGATGTTACTTATTTATTTTTAGAGAGGGGGAAGGGAAGGAGAAAGAAGGGGGGAGAAACATGGATGTGTGGTTGCCTCTCAGGCGCCCCCTACTGGGGACCTGGCCCGAAACCCAGGCATGTGCCCTGACTGGGAATCGAACTGGTGACCCTTTGGTTCGCAGGCTGGCACTCAATCCACTGAGCCACACCAGCCAGGGCAGGGAATCAGGATTTTGTTTTCAAATTACACCAGTCAGAATCCCAAATCTCTTGGCCCTAGAAGGAGATGCAGGTGACCCCTGCAAGGTCGTGCAGTTAGGACCCATCCCCTGACTCCTGCTGTCTCAGACACTCACAGGGACGGGTGTGCTGAGAACACACAGATGCACCAACCCTCCTTCATGGAATTAGCAATCACTAATTACCTGTTCTTGCCAACGAATGCTGTGCATCTCCAGCATTCAGCCCTAAGCCCCCCCTTTTTTTTTTCCTTTTTACACAGTTTCTCATGAAATGAGCCCAAGCTCTGCTTGGGAGGAAGGCCTCCTTCATGCCATTTGATGAATAAAACAGCTTGTAACGGCAGTGTGGGCACCGCGTAATCACCAAGACAGACCTCCCTCTCCCCATTAAGGAGGGCGGTGATTAACGCCGCGAGAGGCTCCAGGAATTTTCTGGCAGAACCATTCTGTCTCCAGCAGACGCCCCCTCCCCCACCGGCCTCACTCCCTCTCTGAATGCTTTGCAGAAATGACCTACTTTGCTTATTTTGTGTCTGCAAAGCAGGAGGAGGATTTGCAACAGGCAGTGATCGCGGCTCTTCATTAACTTGGGGCCCCTTCCCTCCCCAGCAAAATGGGACTGCGGTGGCCCGTGAAACCACCGGTTAATTAACGTCCCCCACTCTGGGAAGCCGTCCTTCTTCTCAGAGCGTCCCACTGAAAGGCTGGAGTCCGCGTGATGATGTTGAATTCTTTCCAAAAGTCCTAAGGGAAACAGCCCTCCAAGCACGTCTGAAGTTCGGCAAACAAATAGGTTTATTTTAAAAAAGAAGAGAAAAAAAACCCTGGTGTTTCCATAGTTTCTGCTCTGCAATTTTCATTTACATTCATCCCCAGGGATTTTTTCCCCCATCTCTTTTATAGTTTCCCCAACCCGCCGGGCCCGCGTTCCAGTATCATGTTCTCCACGCCGCCGCATTCCTGTCTTGTGCTGATAGTCCAAATACGATGTTTGATATGACCCAGAAGCAGGCTGCATGTGAGTTTACCGGTGTGAGAGGCTACAGCAACCCCGTGATAACAGCCAATCCATCTGCACAGAGGTGCTCACGCTAGCCAAGATGACAGGCACCGTAGACGCGTCTCTGTGAGCCCCGGGACCTCCATCTACGCTGGGGTGAAGAATAAACTAAAGTCCTCTCAGTCACCCTTCCATCCCAACCACGGAATGGGGACAGATAGACACAACCAAGACTGCGTGAGTTCAGACAGGCGAGGGAGCAATTGGGCCCTGAGTTTCAACCAAGAAGGGACAAGAACAACAAAAAATATACATGCTACAGAAATGCTCAGGGGTTGTGTGGTTATTCTAAAGGGTGACTCCTGGAAAAACGCCTGAAAAACACTCATCATATTTCCCCACGATGTGAGAGCAATGAGCGTGCTATGCAGATCAGCATGGAACTGGGTCTCCATACTGCTGCCGGACTAGAACGGTCCAGGGCTGTGCAGTAGGTGATCACGACATAAAGTTACCTTTTTCTCTTTTTTTCCTTTTTTTGTCTCCGATGGCACCGCTGGATTCAGGTCACACGGCTTCCCACGTGCTACCAGCCAGCAGAGGAAACCCAGTGGGGTCAGGTGCGCTCACCCCTTTGTTCATGAGTAATAGGGCATTAAACCCATCACCCCTTTTCTCGTGGGAGGTAACTCCTCACTCGTCACGCACAGTAGGCATGTCGTTGGCGACAGTGAACCAGAACACAATGTTTACGTGAAATACACGTTCAGTGACTGTGTATTCACCTGTAATTGACAGAATGAATCTGGAGTCCCAGGTGCATTTCCACGTTCTCTCTGTGTGGGTGTGTGTACGCTCAAATTGAAAGACGTCTTTCCTTGCGTATCTGCACAGGGAGAACTTGCAATATATGGAAAATCACTAGCCTTGTGACATCAAAATCCCTCCCTCCCATGTACTTACACGTGTGCCTTGGTGTGGACCTGCCTAGACACACACAGATGTTTCATTTCATTCCATCAAAGCAAAAATAAAAACGTTTACATAAAACGCTTCCCTGAAAACAGGCAGAATGAACTTTAGGTCACATCGATGAGCCCCCAAATGAAATGTCTGTGGTGAGACAAGGGCACACGTAAAAAGAATGAGAATCAGTCCAATACATGCATGTTGAGATTGTCTGGTGTCTATAAAAATCATTCACTGGGCTCATTTATCACAGGGTGAATCTTCCAATTTTCAATTTTCTTTACTGATTTTGGAAAGAGGGGAAGGGAGGGAAGAAGAGGGGGGAGAGAAACATCCATGTGTGGTTGCCTCTCATGCGCCCCCTACTGGGGACCTGGCCTGCAACCCAGGCATGTGCCCTGACTGGGAATCGAACCAGTGACCCTTTGGTTCTCAGGCCAGCGCTCAATCCACTGAGCCACACCAGCCAGGGCAGAATCTTCCATTTTTATTGGAATCATTTATAAATTAACTTAAAGAGAAGATGGCTTGGAAAAGAAGGGAAGTTGCATATTCAAATTCTATAGAACTGATAGGTAAAGTTGATTGAAGTTTACTTTCTGTATTTTTTTAATTTTACCTAAAAAGGACATGAATAGTAACTCAGCACCCTTGAATTCGGTTTAATGATCCCCTTAATATTGTACAGGGTCAAATTCTATTTCTAATGTCAGTAAAATAAATGTAAGGCCATTATAAAGATTGCTTTAGCATCAGTTTCCAAAGTTAGGATTCACTAAATTATCCATGAGATAGATAAAGTGTGTTCTGTCCCCACAGGAGTACTCAGACTGAAGCTGCGTGCTGTCTTTAAGTTCTTTGTTGTTTGTTTATCCTTGAGAATTCCTTAAAAGTATTACTTATTCACGACACTGGGAATGACCGAACAGCCTCATCAGTACTCCCTAAAATGGGAATTTCTCCGTTGTAGGTGTGGAGCAGAGAAAGCCTCCCTGTGGTACTCTGGTCCTTCTGAGGCTCAGGTATGGATTGTTGGGCGAACAATGACAAGGTGGACCATGGAGAAACACTGGTTCTCCTAAAACAGGAAGCTCCTTCTGTGAAGCATCAACTCAGAACACTGACGTGTGCTACATTCTAGAAACAGAACACGGAATCGCCAACACGGGTTCGTTGGGTGCACGGTGCAGGTCAAGATGGGAGCCCAATTGGCAACACTGCAGAGGGATGGAAATGGGAAAATGGCCATTGGAGAACCAAATCGCCTTTGATTTGCATGGTTTCTCATTCTCAACCCCATAGGGAAACGTTTTCCGGGAGGCGTGGATGACTCCCACTCAATGCGCTGCCAGCTCCTTTAGGTTTGATTTCTTACCGGGTCAACACCTCTGTGGTAAGAGCGTCATGTCGTTTCTTGAACCCAGTCTACGGCATCCCTCGAACCAGGGTGTTTACCAAGGCAGAACGCTGACACAACCATTCAACCCAAGCAAAGGAAAACTTGAAACCCGTTGACCCCAAAGGTCTATTTCTGTGCCAGCTTTCTATTTTAAAAAATCTTTATTTGGATGTACATCAATAGCCATGCACAGACCTACAATCTTCAGGGATAGTAGTTTTGAAAACAAGGATGATAGCCATTTCTCTGTCCGAGAATCGGAGATTCACTGCCTAATTCTGTTGGCTGAACCCATACTATGGGGAGCTCTTCTTTTGGACAAAGTCATAAAATAATCTATCTGTGTGGACAAAGAGACATGTCTCGGGTCTCTCCAGAGAAAACTATGAGATGTAGAATACTACATTATATGATTCCATTTTTATTAATACAAAAAAATTGGGTGCATAAAAGACACAGTCTGCCAGAAAATCCAACAGTTCATTGTGTTCACCCTGGGGATGTGGTTATAGATGATTTAGTCCGTGATATTTTAAGCCTATGCTGATAGTCTGTTCCATTTGAGCAACCACAGACACACACCACACAGCAGGTGT